GCAATTTGGCAGCAAAATTTGATATAACAGATCCTGCATCAAATTTGTTATATATTTGCCATCAAAAGTTGATAGCAACCCTTATAGAAATATCATACTAAGAATCATTGATAATTACTTATTTTCAGTATTAAAAATACTGGATAATAAGTAATTATCAATGATTCTTAGTATGATATTTCTATAAGGGAAGCTCTGCTCGAAATCTGTTCGCGCAGGTTTGGCTATCTGGGTAGTGGATATAACATTTTTCAAAGTGCAAGTAAAAAGGACAGATCGAAGATTTGTTTATATCTAACAGTAAATCTTATCAGATCCAATTTGCTCTAACGGAATCTGCATATATCTAATGCAATCACTTAATTTTTTTCTCGGGTAATTAAGTACTACCAGTAATTCCCCCACAAAAACAAGCACGTTACACCCACGTGGAATCCACGTGTTTTCGTGGATTCCACGTGAACTCTACATGGATTCGACGTCAATTCGACGTACGTTTTTGTGGGGTCAGTAATTTTTTGGCCAGAACTTAATTTCTAATAAATACTAATAATAAAATCATTGTTAAATATTCCCATACAGCACATCAATATGGCAGAAACATCGCAACAATAACATTAAAACACAAATTTTTTGTTAGAAGTTTTAAAATGGTATAACTACTGCGATTAAAAAATTGTACATAAAAGTTGCAAGAACGTTGTATAGATATATAGACATGATACTATACACAGACAAACACTGTAAATGTTTTATAAAAAAATAATTCCTAATTTTCTTATGTCTCATAAACCGCAAGGGAACCTAAGATTGTCAACACACGTTCCAAACTTTCGCGAATCCTCTCTCGATAATTTCGATTCCAAACGGTATACCGGTCACCCATCTGTATCCTAACTTCTGGTGCGTTCCGAAATTCACTGCCAGTACTGAAATTCTATAACATACGTAACATAAACTATAGATTTTCAGTACTGGCAGTGAATTTCGGAACGCAGCCTTCGTTAAAAAGGAGAAGGGCGTACTATAGATGGCAGCAGGACGTCGTGCGTTCGGGACTTGCGTATCTTTTCGATTTAGAAAGAGAAAAATATCGAGAGCGGGGCCGGGACTCAAATTCGGGCGAACCTCGAACTTCCGCTTGCCGAGCGACTGCTCAGCCACTAAACCACTAAGGGTGCTTTCCAATAACACACTTGACATATATGTACACAGAATGCATAAAGTGTAACGTTATGCACGATTTAATTGGAACAAAGTATGTACTAATGTGTATGTATATCGGGTAGGGTTATTTTTCAACTATGCTTATATTTTGGTATTTTTTAATAATAAATAATAAAATCTAAATAATAAAAAAGATATTATCTACTTCATGTCGCAAATGCCAGTCTCTTTTTCAAGCCGCTACGCTTATTAACTTTAATTTTCACTAGAAAACACTAATTTACACAGCCGACTAGTAGCCTTCGAGCTGGGGTGTATATCAGTTGGACACGGGGCAATTGGACACAGTCCAATCACAAGTCGCTGTTCCAAGGGACCCTACAAATGTCTCTAATCACATGGTGCTGTGATTGGCTGTGTCCAAATGCACCGTGTCCAAGTGCACCGCTCTCTTTGAGCTGCGTACGGATGTATAGTGTTGTGTCGACGATTACGATAATTGGAATGCATTTGTATGTACTTGACCAGAAAAAAACTCCGGTTGGAAAACTATCCTTTTAAATCGTTTGTATTTTGTATGAAGAGTTTTGAAGTGCAATTGAAAAGATTTGTGAATCATTCTGTTACTTGTAATTAATTGTTCTTTTTTAGACCATGTATTTAACCGGAAATAATGACCGGAGGTAAATTAAACAAAGGTTCGATATGGTATCGTTTATATTTCATATGAAGAGTTATGAAGTATCATTAAAAAGGTTTGTGAGTCATCCAGATAATGTTAATTAAATATTAAAAAATCATGTATTTGGCCAAAATATCGATCTCAAGCGCTGCTGTGGAAGTACCGTCAGGCACGATCGGTGTATTATCTAGTATTTCAATACTCCTGGTTCTTTTTCGGATAATTATGTACAATAGTCTTTTTCGAATTTTGATATTTTTTTGCAGCTCTTTTGGTAAAAATATTTATTTTGACTCCAACATTGATAATCAATCGGGGGAGTCCGAAAAATATGCGTTATATATTGTTTTAACTTTTTTTTAAATTTGTTTTTCACTTGTCAAACGTTGCTGCTTTCGCACAATTTAAATAAGTTACTGATCTTTTAATCACATTATGTAACTGCAATATCGAATGATTAGCGGGGGGCTGCGCTCCCCGCACCCCCCTTCAAAACTAACCTAACCCAACCTATCGTCACATTAACCGTCAGTCATTGTTTATTAAAATGTTCAACTTTTTTTCTTAATAATTTTTTAATGACTAATGGCTCCTGCACACAGGACGCGGTAAGGCTTGCCGCGTGGCGGAAGTCCGCGCGACAGCCAATCAATATGTTATTTTTCCGTAGGAGCTAGAAGGTTATTACGGAAAGCAGCATATTGATTGGCTATCACGCGAACTTCCGCCGCGCGGCAAGCATTACCGCGTCCTGTGTGCAGGAGCCATTACGGCTAATGTGACGACAGGTTGGGTTAGATTAGGTTTGAGGAGAATGCGGGGGGCGCAGCCCCTGCTAGTCATTCGATATTGCATTTACATAGGCTGTGTTCCGAAATTCACTGCTAGTACTGAAATTCTATAAAATACGTAACATAAACTATAGATTTTCAGTACTGGCAGTGCATTTTGGAACGCAGCCATAATGTAATTAAAAGATCAGTAACTTATTTAAATTGTGGGAAAGCAGCAACGTTTGACAACCCTTATAGAAATATCATACTAAGAATTATTGATAATTACTTATTATCCAGTATTTTTAATACTGAAAATAAGTAATTATCAATGATTCTTAGTATGATATTTCTATAAGGGAAGTGAAAAACAAATTTAAAAAAAAGTTAAAACAATATATAACTTGCATATTTTTCGGACTCCCCCCGGATTGATTATCAATGTTGGAGTTAAAATAAATATTTTTATCAAAAAAGCTGCAAAAAAATATCAAAATTCGAAAAAGGCTTTATTGTACATAATTACCCAAAAAAGAACCAGGAGTATTGAAATACTAGATAGTATACCGATCGTGTCTGACGGTATTTCCACAGCAGCGCTTGAGATCGATATTTCGGCCAAAAACATGATTTTTTAATATTTAATTAAAATTATCTGGATGACTCACAAACCTTTTTAATGATACTTCATAACTCTTTATACGAAATATAAACGATACCATACCTAATTTTTGTTTAATTTATCTCCAGTCATTATTTCCGGCTAAATACATGGTCCAAAAAAGAACAATTAATTACAAGTAATAGAATGGCTCACAAATCTTTTCAATTGCACTTCAAAACTCTTCATACGAAATACAAATGATTTAAAAGAATAGTTTTCCAACCGGAGTTTTTTTCCGGTCAAGTACATACGAATTTGGAATGCAACTTGTGTCGCCGTGTGCATAAAGGGTCTAGGGATATTGCAATTGGAAAGCACCCTAAACTACCTGACGTTTCCACGCTCACGACACTCTCCCCTTCCTAGATAACGTTCAGAGATGTCTAACTTCTGTTGCTTAACCTGACAATTAAACGGCACGCGGTGATTCCAGTGACTCCAATGATATTCTTATGACTCTCGCAGCCAGCGCGATTTGCGACGCGACACGCGATATGCGATGCGAGATATCCAATGAGCGTACAACTTTTCCATATACCAATAGGCTCATTGGATATCGCTCGTCGCAATCGTATGTCCGTCGCGCATCGCACTGGTCTGCGAGAGCCATTACGATTAATGCTTATACAGGGTGAGGAAAAAGTATGGAAATCCTGAAAAATCTAAAAAAATATAAGTTTTACAGAAAAATGTTTCAAATAAAAGTTGTAGGGTTTAAAAAAGTCTATTCAATAGTTGCATCAGTTTGACCCTGCCTGGTGTCGTTAAGGTAAAGTCAAAGTTACCTTGAATTTTTTAAATAGAATATATATTTTTATATTTTTTATTGCATATTCTTATAGTCCTTCTCAATACCTTTTCAAAGCACTATAATTTTATTAATTTTGGGTCAGCCGTTTCAAAGTTATCGAGTATTTTACAGTAAAAAGTAATATACACCCGAAGATAAAATCGGAATATGATCCAGCCAACTAAGGCAAAATCGGAGGATAATCCAGTAATAAAATGCCTGGAGGAGAGTGTGAGACACCTTGCATATACAGGGTGTCCCGCGTAAGACCAAAAGAAAAATATAAGTAGAACACATAAAAGTGAACAAAAATTATATAGGCCATTTTTCAAATAACTACGTAAAATTTCGAGATATTAATTAAAATGGTTGAACATATCAAAGCGCGGCAACACGGCAGGCGGGACATACGGCTCGCCGCGGCCGGCGAAAAAAATGAATGATTGCTCGCGGGCCTATCTTATAAGCCAGAGAGGTGGGCCGTTTGGCATATTGAAATGAATGTGTGCGCCCGTGTACATGTGCGTTCTTCCATTTTCTTCGCCGACCGCTGCGAACCGTATGTCCCGCCTGTCGCGTCGCGCGTTCTAAGTTGTCCAACTATTTTAATTAATATCTCGAAATTTTACGTGGTTGTTTAAAAAATGACCTATACAATTTTTGCTTACTTTTATGTGTTCTACTTATATTTTTTTTTGGTTCGTCTAACGCGGGACACCCTGTATATACAGGGTATCCCGCGTAAGACGTGACAAAAAGAAAAATATAAGTAGAACAGATAAAACTGAACAAAAATTGTAGAGATCATTTTTCAAACAACCACGTAAAATTTCGAGATATTAATTAAAATAGTTGGACAAATTAGAGCGCGACGACGCAGCAGGCGGGACATACGGCTTACCGCGACCGGCGAAAAAATGGACGATTGCTCGCGGGTCTAAAATGGGTAGCTCCGTATGCCAAACAACCCACCTCTCTGGCCTATAAGATAGACCCGCGAGCAATCGTCCATTTTTTCGCCGGCCGCGACAAGCCGTATGTCCCGCCTGCCGCGTCGCCGCGCTCTAATTTGTCCAACTATTTTAATTAATATCTCGAAATTTTACGTGGTTGTTTGAAAAATAACCTCTACAATTTTTGTTCACTTTTATCTG